TTTAAAATTTATTTCTTAAAAATGGTTGCAACATGATTTTAAACTAACACATGTATTTAAACTTCTTTTATATTCAAAGACTTCTAAAATTTGTGATTTGAATTAATTCACTTATATATTTAAATTTTTTAAATTTTACTTCTTACAAAAAGGCAACATAATTTTTATAAAATTTGAGTATCTGATGTTTACTTGCTTTTATAATTTAGAATTAGATTCCTTAATTTATATTTTTAAAGTTTAGAAAGTTTTTTTGAAAACAAGTTTAGATTTTAGTTTAAAATTTAAATTTTTATAAAGTTTAGATTTCATCATACGCTGAAAGTCATTATTTTCAACAACATATCCTAAAATGTAAGGTGTTAATTAATTTATTTCCATATAAAACCATAGAAAATTATTTTTCAAAAAAATTAGAATGCAATATGTATCATTATTAATTATTTTATTTATGTATCTATTAGATATTTGCATGTGTAAAATCTTTTTTTCCAAAAATATTTTTTAAGATTTATAATTTAAATTAATTTACTTATGCACTAAAAAAATTATACTAAATCGTGTTAAGGTTAGACATACCCACATACAATGGATATTAATAACAAGAATCATAAGCAAATACAAAATAAGAGGAGCAAGACTTGGAACCTTAAAATCCTGAAATTTGCCTGTTACATTGGAAATTTTTTTGATGAGAGTGAGAACCAAAAATGCATTGCTGCAGGCACGATATGAATATTGGCGATAATAAGTTACACCTGCCTTCACACAACAAACATGACTGCTCTAAACCGGCGAATGAAAGTTGCTACTATAGCGTTGCAATGCTGTTAGCTTTTTCTTTCACCATTGTCTGAACAAAGAGCTCCCCCGCCCTATATGAGGATCGAACCTGCAAAATTCAATAAAGTTTGAGGAAAATGAGTAATAGATTCTCTTAGCATTATTACCAATTTACTTCATATCAATTTAAGAATCAAGAAGGGAGTTTCAACTGAAACTACATCTCATCATTATCATTTTGTATGTTTGGTTCAATTCATATTGCTTTCGTTTTCTTTTTTTTTTTAACTAGTCGAAAAGTCGCACAAGGCAGTGCTTGAGAGAAAAGAGCGGGTTTCTTGTTTGGTTCCCCATTGAACTGATTCCTCCAACCTTGAATTCCTTGTAAATTAGGATTCCTACTTTTTTTAGATAAGAATCAGAAATCACTTGAATTGAAAATAGAATTGGGGTGTTATTATCTTCCCAACCTTTTGTATACTGTATTATTTTCATCCATGAACTTAAAATTTTTTAAATCAGCAGAATCTAATAGTAGCAAACTTGATTATGAAGCCTAAGTTGGTTAATATATATATTTTTAATCTTTTTGTAATGTTTAGTTATGTCTATGCTAGTTCTCTATAGAGTAAAAGAAAGCACTAGTTTTTCTCCTCCATTCCATTTTACCAGTTCCTACATCTTACATGATTAGCACTATGAGTAGTTGGATTGGCAGTATGAGTAGTTACGAAAAGCTTACCAGGGGACCACTCGCTACATATAGGAATCCTATAGATTCCCCGTACTCCTTCCAGAAAGCAAACTTCTCCGGGGTAACATACTCTTTGACAGTCAAATGCAATGGAGTTGGCTGCAGAAACATAATCATCAATGAATTGATAATCAAAGTTTGCAAAAAGTAAACTAGAGGCATTAGTTATAACATGGATAGTGAAACCAGATGAATGGTTGAGCAACAGAAAGTTTCAACCATTTCTGGAAATTTCAAGATGACTGTAGAGAACAATGGCAGATGAATGCCCACTAATCAAACATAAAAGAAGTTCAGCACTTTGATCACCAAAGTTATCATGTCAACTTCATGCCTTGGGTTTCATTTTGTAGTACAACGGGCCTATTATCCACAATTACTAGCTAACATTAGATTATTACTCACAAATTAATTCACAAATGAGCCATTAAGAACTTCTCTCTATTTGACCTTGCAAGAGTAACCAACCTATCAACTAAACACCAATCTATTTACCTACTGAGTCCACTATCATTATTATTCTTCAATACCGTTTTTTACACTATGAACCCATCATCCAATGCCATTAACAAGACTCTGAAATGTTAAACGATAAATATATACCAAGATCTTTCTCATTGCACTGTCACCATAGTATTTGAGATATTTACGCATGGAAACTAATTGGATCCTTAGGCCATAATATTGTTAAATTCTAATAAAGTTATGGGCTGCTCTAGTATTTATTTAGTTACATGATTTTCTAACCGACAACTAAAGCTAATGGGTTCCCTTCAACTGTATGAGCAACGTCTGAGTAGAGCCAACAAGACTTCCTTAACGCATGCCTTTTAGTCAAAGGTTGAATTGAAGAGAAATATTTATAGCTCAGGAAGACACAATAACGTCGCATTTGATTAAAAAAAAATTTATTTTCATTCAATTCCTACTCTGGTTATTCAACGTATAGAAGTTAGTAGTAATTTATGCATTTTTGTGCATAATTGAATTAACTTGACTCTATCTTTAGTCCTATAAACATGGAGTACAGGTTAATGAAGAATAATGAAAATACCTAATTTAAATTTAAACATGGAAAACCCCATGCACTAAAGAAAAACTTGCACTTATGAAAAACTCAAACCAACTGCCATCTTAGATCATGACTTCCAATTTGAGGTGATCCACATAGCCATCCTTGAAGCCACCAGAATCTTTCGACCAGCTTGAATATGATGTCTCACTGCAAAAATCAACCAAAAAACTCTCCACTCACCAGAAAAGAACTGCCTCACTTGACCTCGGCCTTCCCTGCAATTGGTCTCACACTGCTACATGATCTGCAACCACCATTTCAAGCCCAGTCTGTTGCTGGAACCCCAAAATTGTCCAGTAAATGGAAGCTAGTGCCTAAGCTACACGCTAACCCGCTGCAGGTAGAAGTCACTCAATCTAACCAATATCAACTCCTCTGCTATTCGAATTTGACCAGATCTTGACTTCTTCTGCCTCAATCAGACCAGTTCAACATTGGTTGAAGAAAAAATAAGTTATTATGTTCTTCCATCTATACTGCAGATGCCAGCTTCAATAATAGTCACTAATGCTGAACTATATTCTAGGCAAGATGCACATGAAGTAGACACTAATACCGGATTTGAAACAATGCCAATATAATCAATCGTAATTTCGGAAGAATTAAGATGCTTGTGCACTGTACAGGTAACTTCACCATTCCATTATATAAGTTGCATAAACCATTGTGGGTGATAGAAGGCACGTAGAAGATAACACTGGAGATATTACTATGAAGGTATGAGTTGAAACTTCTGATTTTGATGAAAAAAATGATTCTGATTTCTTCTTCAATTGGCTTAATTCAATAAAAAATACTTTAAGCGGTATGACATGTCAGATGCATGAAAGGTCAGATTTGCTAAGATGAAAATGGTTCAACTTACTAAAAGATGGTGGTACAGTACTGATAAAAACCTAAAAAGGAGAAAACCGGCTATTGAAAAATGAGATGAGATTAGAGTTGCTCTTTGTTAAAAATATTTACCTCCCAACTACTTTAACAAGTTTCATGATCAAGCTTACACTTTAAGTCAGACAACATGCCAGTAACTAATTCTTTTTCGAAATAACATGTCCCAAAAAAAGAAGAGAGAATTCTATTCCATTTCGAAATGCTTTTCGTAAGGCAATGAAATAACTGAAGCTGGTCTTTTCTTTAAGCAAGGAACCAGATAGAGGACGACTGTTACTAAGCCAGAAGTAAGCCAGACAGTCGCTTTAATTGACTACGTCTTCCGTGTCCTTTTCTTTTTAGCTCAAAGAGGGGCCCCTTAAGGAGCAGGGCTTCTTTTTTCAAAAATGAAAAAAAAAAGGGGCAGAGGGAACCCCGGATTTTAAAGTTCAGTCCTACCCTATAGTGGAGTATAACTAATTATACACAAAAGGTTGAAGAGTTAAAGATTCAGAGTCAGTCGATACAAGATGATAGTCAGGTAGCATCTCAATTTAAGGTAGTATTAAGAATTGAAAAAAAAAAGAAATTGATTTGGTAACCTTCTGAAACCTAACCAAACTGTTACAGTAAAGAAAAAAGAGAGGAGAGTTTGGCATCCGTGAAGCAGTGAGATTTGAGTCTATAGTTAGGTACGAAGTTGTTTCTTTGAGAAACTAATAAGAGTAAAATTATTTAAGGATTTTTTATTACATATTTAAATTTAGATTTAGCTTAAAAAATCGCAATACAACTTGGACTATGATTCTGATATAACTAAACTTAGATTAAGAATTGAAATAAAACTAGGATTATGATTCTTTGAATTATAATTTGGACCTAATTCAATTAGATTCTCTACAGATATACCTGTTATCATAAATAAAATCAACTATTAATCCAAATATTTTCTCTCTAAAAGATTAGAGATTCTCTTAGACGAGCCTATTATAGGCCGTCAAGGCTGGAAAAATGGGAAGGAAGCAACTCATTTTCTTCAGGATTTTGCACTAGACCCCATGACCAAGTCCAGCGCTATGGACCATGACATGAAAGTACTAAGTAAATATAAAAAAATATTTGAAATATCCAGCTTGAAGAAACGCCAAAATTCCTGGAATCAACTTCTAATGAAACCTTTGAATTGAAATATAGGCTGAAGAATAGATTTGAATCAATTTTCAAGACTCTTTCCAAAGTTAATGGGACTGTTTGTTTCATGTGTGGACATATTATGCTGTTGAATATGATATTTTATTATTTTAATTTATTATTTAATTAATTAATATTATATAGTTAGAATTCTATTAAAATAAGAATTTCATATAATTAGAATTCTAATAAAATAATTATTTTTTAATTAATAGATTAATAATTTTATAAATACCTCAGCTGTAACAATCTAAATAGTGGGAAATAAAATTATTTTTTCTCTAAAAATCTATATGATATCAGAGCCTAATAAATATATTTTAGAATTTTAATTTCAGAATTATTTTAAACCCTAAAATACCAAAAATAAGCTAAGAGGAAGAAAGTTAGATCAGAGGAAGAGAGCTAGATCAAAGGAAGAGAGGAAGCAGCCAATCAGCTTGCTTCGGTTCTGCCTTCCACCAGATCGTTGCGCCTCCGTTCCAGATCTGGTTGGGTAACAAGCCAGCTCCTCCCGCGCAACCAGGCGGAGGAAGACAGCTCTGCGCACGGCAGGGTGGAAGATCGGTGCGTGCAGGTGTCAGATCTGGTCTGTTCAGAGAGGGAGGGAGCTGCGCACGGCCGGAGAAGAAGGCAGAGTGGTGTGACCAGCTCTGCGCGCGTCGGAGAGGAAGATCGGCGCGCAACGGCCAGATCAGAGCGTCAGCGCATTGGGTCTGTCCGGAAAAGAGGAGTTGACGTTTTCCGGTGTGATTTCATCAGATCTGTGCCAGATCTGAGCAGCGCAACCTTTTGTGCTGATTCCTAGCGATATTTCAGCGGCATGTGTGGCCGGCGACTGCAAGA